AGCAAGCCTGTGGATCTTAAACAGGTTACAATTTCTTCTGCCGTGTATTTTCTGTGGGAAGTCACTAGGTAATGGAAACAACAGAGCTCCATGGACTTATGCCAGCTGAGGAGTTGGCCCTATGGATTCTTAAAAGAGGAGAAGCCCAAGTGGAGAAAGAGCAGGAGTCAATCTAGAGTGGACAGGGAGTCTTAGAAATGTGGGATGGGTCATTGCTTAACAGGTTTAAGCAGCACGGGGGGAACCTGCTCGGCCGTACTGCTGGTGAAAGAGCAAAAAAATCATTTCCTGGCTCTTCAGGCTGAACGTGTGATTGGCACAAAAGCCAACAAGAAGGGTCGAAGGTTGGAGTCTGCATATTCAAACACTAAGGAGAAGTGACACGAGGCAGTTCTCTCGTTTGGGGTCGCTAAAGCGGTGGTCGTGGTCCTGTACTGCAGAAGGCATCTCGCAACACAGGAATTACCGTCCTGCTCCTTTGTGGATGGTGCCAGAAAATCCAAGTCAAAGGCAGCTGCTGGGAGTGAAACACCTCTAAAAACCACCCAACTCACTTAGGTGCTCAAGCATGGATTTAGTTGAGTATTTTTATGTGCCCAAGCTTGAAAGCAAAACTCACTGACTCCCTGCAAATGCCTTATTCAAACTCCGAAACACAAGGAATGGTTTTACTCACCAGAACTCTACACCTATTTCTTAAATAAAAAAAGATACATAATAGGAGGGGGGGGCAGGATTAAAAAGGAGGAATCAAATAGATTCTCCCCCCTTTCACTGCCATTTCTATTAGGGCCTTAAAGGATTAGGCTCGGGGTAACATTAGCAGTGTATTCCCTGAGAAAACATGGCTTATAGAGTTGGCTTTGGGGAATTAAACACTACTGGCTCCTGCTAGAAACTTTTCAACTGCACTCCTGGACTGGGATACCCCCTGCACACTGATCTGATGTAACCAGCTTTAGCAGCATTCAGTGCAGTTACTAAAAAGAAGGGTTTGGAAGCAAGAGGAGACTAACATATGCTTACTGCCTGATTTTTCACAGAGACTGAGCGCCTGTGTCTACCATTAATGTTAGATGGAGTTAAAGATGCTGATACTTCTGAAACCCTGGCTTGTTCAGTGCATCCCTTTTTGCAGTGGTTAGAGATGCTGGGATATCAGGAACCCGAAAGGGAGCTATTTGACATATCAGGTGGGGATTTTTAGAGGTCACAGAGAAGCCCCAGCTAAAATGAAACCAGACTGGCTGTATCAAATCAGGAGCTGCATTTGCTGCACAAGCCAAGGACCTGCACAGGAACCTGGGCCTGTAGGTTTGCCTTCTAACAGCAGATTCAGCTCAGCAAAACAACTGCAAGGTGAAGCTGCTGAAACCAGTAAGGCTCCCAGATCCCAGGCAATGGAGCAGAGCTCCCTACTCTAATCTCCATCCCATCCCCTCTGTCACTCATCCATGCACTACCCCCTGCGTATCGCTGCTGTGGGGACAAACAGTGGGCAGGATTTCCTGGTGACAGATAGCTCCTCACTGATAAGGACCTTAGCTCTCTTGGTCAATGAGGACACTTCACTTCACCTCACCTCTATTCCTATTCCACTTGGGATCTTCACAGCTTCCCTCCCTTGGTTGAAAGAAAACCCATTTTGTTCTAATACCAACTTTATTCTGGACTCACTCCCCTCATATGTCTCTCTTCCCTGCCAGTCCTGTCAACATGCCAATCTGGGACTAAGAGGAGGTAGAAAAATGCACAGTAGTACTTGGGTCTAATTGAGTACCTAAGCAATAGTCCATAGGCTTACTTGTTCTAGCCCTGCAGAGGATAGTTACCCTTGGATGGGTTTCCTTCCACACATCCCCATTAACACTCAGTGGAAGAATCCAGCTCCAAGGTAGGAGCCTTAACATGGCCAAACAACCTACTACAGAAATCAATGGAGCTATCCCAATTTCTGCCAGCTGTGGATCTGGCTCTGTGTCTCCACTCTGCACAGGTTACGTTATGGAGACATCTTTGAATCAGTCCAGCCGCCAAGATCTGGATGCGGGCTTTCCATGTCATAATATCAGTTACAGTTTCACTAGATGCACCATCAGGGATGGCTCTTGTTATCCAGAGCCAACTCTGCATGGCTGCATTAGCTTGATGAGGAAGGACCTGTGCCTCTGAGAGGAAGGAACAATGACTTAAGAATGCATAGGAAAAAAATGAGCAATTCACCTCCTTGAATTTGGGACATAACACCCTTCTAGAGAGCCAGGCCAAGATACCCAACTCTATGAAATGTATGACTAGTGGGACCCCTCCAGTCATGGAAGATGCCCTGAAAACAGTCATGCAATTAAAGGTTCACAGAAACAGCACTCTTTAAAGTCATTGGGACTGATGGTAGAGGTGTTCTCTTTTAGTAGACCAACTAGATTTTTGCAAAAAAAAATCTTTAAACAAAAGATTTTGCAGAAATCTAGTTGGTCTACTTAAAGAGATCACCTCTACCATGAGTCCTGATCCCTTTTGCCTCTAGACCCCTATGGCTACATCCTGGATACCTGGCTGTTCAATGCCATGCTTTTTCAGGGACATTTTCTTCCTAAAGGCCTGAGCCAAACCCTCCTGCAGTCACTGGAATATCTGGTGGGAGTCAGTAAGCTTTACAGCCGGCCCCACGCCCCTGGTGTCAGTGCTTTAGGGCTAAGCAGCGTAGGTGAGCATGCTCGAGACCGCCCACCGGGCCATGCTGTTGGGAATTTCAATAGCAGAATTTGTTAGTGTTTCAGCTAGACTGGAAAAAAGCCACAGAGAAAAGATGCTGGGAAATTAACATCTTGATGAAGTGCTTTCTTTGGATCAGTTGCAGAAGGCACAGAGCCAACATGCAAGCTTGTCTAGAGGCAACAGCCAAGAAATAATTGACTGAATAAGTGTAAGAGACTAATGGCTTGAAATGCAAACTTTTTCATGAACTAACAGGAGTCATATTAGTTAGGGGAAAAAAAAAATCATTGAACCTATCTTCCTACAACTGCAGGATATTCCTCCCATTTAAATAATGCATTCGATACCTCAGTGAGTTGTACTGATGGCAAGCACCTGCTTGTGTTCCCGCCATACCAGAGTATTTTCACCACAAAAATGCAGGGATGGAGTTAGCCCAGACTTTGCTTTTTGTACAGATGGACACCTTGGGGCTTGGCGGTGCCATCTGGGAAGACGCACTTGAATAGCTATCAGGTGACTGTTTCTTGCCTTGGCATCAGAGCTGGGAGTCAAGCTTCGGTTCTGCCCGTTCCTATCTTTGATTAAAACACATGTTCACCTTCTCTGAGCAACTCCTTTCTTTCGGTTTAACCCTTGTCCCCTCTCTGCTTTTCTAGTTCTTCACCGTGCCTATTGGACCGGTACCTTCCACTGATACTCTGCTGAAATTAGATGAAAAGGCTAAGGGAGACTGCCACGATCACATAGTCTGATCAAGAAGACGGTCTCGATCTGGCTCACAGTCATACAACATCCTCGGTTCCTTCAGCAACATGCAAGCTATAAGACATCTGAAAACACTTTGTCCCTTCACTGCCATGCCAGGTGTACTCCACTTGGATGTGCATAGTTTATTTGGCAACATGGCTAAGCTGCCCTGCTTAGGAGCATTTGGAAATGTCAGTAATATTCATATGCTTAGAGCCATCTCCTTCCATTTCGCTAAATGCTAATAAAGCCAAAGGCTTGGGAATTAGACACACAACACCTGTGATACATCTCCAATTAGTAAAAAGCTATTGTTGAGTGGTTTAGCCCAGCACCATCATCACCACCTTCCCCCAAAATGCAGTTATGAACCAGGGTGGATTCTTATCACGTGTAACATTTAAAAGCAATCTTGAAATCTTGTTTTCTTGTATGCAAACAAGTGGACAATTCAGCAAGCGAATTCTGCCATGCAGGCATGGCCAGGGGAAGGGGAAATGCAAATGAAATGTTGCCACAAAAGGGGATGAGAAAATCCCAGGCTCTGTTACTCAGAACTTTTCAAACCTGCCAGCGTTGGGGGTGCAAAGCCTTGAAGATGAATGGCTCGAACAAAGGAAACGAAGGAGAGAGAGTCCCTGTCCCCCATCCGCCTCCCCCTTTGGAAACCCAGCCCATGGCCAATGGCTTTTGCCCTGTGTCAGACATCTCGGGAAGGCTGGGAAGGTCTCCAAACCATGTTTCTAGACCACTCTCTGAGGATGGAAAAGAGGTTGCAATTTGGAGAGTGATGGGAAACAATGAGCACTGCTATCACCACTTGGAGATGCTAGTCAGCTGCTTTCCCATGGGCCTGCACCACTGAGACAGGACACTCTGCACCCTCAGTGCTCACTGGTTTGGAGATCACAGGTTTAAGACCCTTCCTCCCCACAGACACATGAAGAAGGAGAAAGCAGAGAAAACTCAACCACACTTTTTCCCTGCTCCAAACCCAACTGGACCAGGGTGCGGGGGGAGGAGGGGGAGGGGGTCTGGCTGGTATATGGCACAAAATGGCATATCATAAGCCAACAGCAAATCTTTGCTGTCTTGATTTTCTTCCACCCTGTGGGGTATAAACCCTCATTGCTTGGGACCCGCTATCAGTCAAGAGAAAACGAAAATCAGCATTCCTGGCATGGCCCCCCTATGCCTTAACTGCAAGCCAGTTTTGATGAAATGCTTTGCTAAGCTGTTTGGCATGTCAGAGCTGTTCACATCAAGATATCAAAAGGTTCTGATTAAAAATAATTACATTCACTTTTAATTGCACCCTTTAAAGAAACATATTCTAAACAGGGAGGAAGGTGATGTGTCATGGCCTCCGTAAGCAGCTGAGATGCATTCAGTCAGAAGACACGGCAGCAACAAAAACTAAGACAGCTTTTAGAAGAAAGCAAGCAAGCGCAGGAAAGGAAGAAGAGGAGCAGCTGCTTCAACAAGGAGTGAGGGTAAAGACAATGACAGGGAGATGCATCTGCGAGACCTACCTTGGCTGGATTGAGGGCCGTGATCACCCATACACAGTAGGCATTGTTATCATACTGTACAGGGTAGTTGGGAGAAGTTATCACTCCGCTGGGGCCACGGAGGTATGTATCGCACATCCTGGCTGTGAAGAAGAAAATAAGACAGAGCATGTTTGGGAGGTTCGTTTGTCCAAGCATGTCCATTTGGCCCTTTCTTAGGGAAGGTAGTGGCGCTTGCATAAAATTTGCTGCAGAGCTGGGGTGGGGGGGCGGTGTTGTGTCCTTTGCAGTACAAAAGAAACAGGACTTTGCTGTGATGAATAAAACAGGGGTTATTTATGGAGCCTGATGGGCCCTCGGGTTAGTTTAACAGAGCCTGTGCTGCCTACGGTTACTGCATAAAAACCTCCTTAAGTCTGGTGCATGGACAGCTTCGCAGGCTACCTTGAGCACTTCAGCTAGGACATATCATTTCTTTCCAATCTGCCAGGCGGGCCTTGTTCTCTTTTCTCTACACACCTAATCAAAAGTTGGCCAATGAAGAGAGGCTGAATTAAGTCTGATGTCGCCAAAGACTGGGCAAAACAGATATGGAGATGGCAGCTCTGCTCCATACCTTAAAGCATCTTAAGTCAAGCAGAGGAGTCCTTTTGTCACAGGTGTCCACCAGTTCCCTCTCCCTTGGCAAATGTGCAGTAAAGAGCCTTGCCTGCAGGTATCTTTGAGACAAGTACTGAGTGAGACAAGGACCCGGGCCACAGTTTCTGATCTGAAGTAGCCTTTTTGGAACTTTTCCCAAAGCCCAATGGAGCGGGTGGGTGTGCGTGCACACGTGTGCATACGTGCCGCACGCTCACATGTGCCATCAGATCCAAAGGTCTACTATGGGTCCATCACTCACCAGAACACATAAGGCTGGTGATGAAGGGCTCTGTCACATGGGATGAGCAACACAATTCAACAGCTGCTCTTTCACATAGCTCTCCCCAGTCTATGCGTCTAACAACCAACTCTGAGCCCACTTCAATGTGAATGGTGGTTTTAGAGGGGGGGAGTGCTTTTCAATGGGAAGGCAGGACAATAGAAAGTACAGCGAGAGAAGTGACCAAATTTGCCCCCTTTCCTCAACCCTCCCCACTTCATCTGACCTGTTTCACTTAAAGACGACACACACAGAGGAGCTGTCTTCTTTCAAACTGAAGCTTCGCCCCTCTGCCCTTGTTCCCTCCCTCCCAAGCCCATGCGTTTACATTGCAATCCTGCATCAGGCAATGATGGAGACAAAATCAATCTCTATTGCCAGGCGAGATGCTCAGACAGGCCTTCCAAGTTTTTATTTCACCCCCTAAACTCCATACTAGTTAGACCTGCTGATGTGAAAGCTGCATCTTCAAAAAAAACCCAAACAAACAACGGGTACATTTTCTATCTGCCTCGCCTCTTCTGCTTGAGGCTGTTTCTTTTTAACTGGATAGCACCAAGGAGTGGGCTAGAAGCCCAAGGCAGGACCATCATGGGAGGCTGTGCTGAAATAGTGGTGCTGAGGACAAGTTTTCTACGTGCACCTACCCAGCTGAACTCATCCAGAACAGGAAAGGTATCGCTGGAAGGGTGCATCACTCAGATAGCAAAGCAATTAGTTATGCAAACCAGCAAAAGCCTCTCTAGTGACTTGACTGGACCCTGGTCCAGGTCCAGAGTACCTGGCCATGCTTCTTCTAGCTGCTGACTGCCTGCTGCTTACCCATAAAAATTGGCAAAGAGTGGTAAATGTCCCAGTGGCTCAACCAAGAAGCCCTTGGCCAGGACCTGAGAAGATATGCCTGTGGGACTCAGAAGGCCTCCATTGCTGCAGCATCTGAATGCCTATGTATCTTTGATGAGCTGATCCTCGCCACAAATAAAGGACAAAAATGTCCCATTAGCCTCATTTAGCAAATGGGGAATTGCAGCACTGACAGGCTAAACACAACTTGCTGCAGGTCACAAATAAAATCGGTGGCAGAGCAGAAAATTGGGATGTCCTATGTCACAAACCAAGGGGTCCAAACAACCTCTTGCCACAGAGAAGTGAGTTATGCATGGCTCCTGTGGACAACTGGACACTTGAATGTCTAAGGAATTTGTCATTTAAACAAGGAAATGTGAAAACAGCAAGAGGGATAAAAATGATTTAAAACAGGAATAAAAGGCAAATGGGGGGGAGGGGATTTTGTCCAAAAAAGAACCACTTCCCACCCCCCACCGAGGTTGGATTGAAAAAAAAATCAAGTTGATTCACAGAGTAGTAATAACGCAGGCAAATCCTTTCTTATCTCAAACGAAAGGACACTATAAATTTCCTTTATAGTGTCACATATTTATGCCAAATATCCTCTTACACTGATTCAATTTATTCTACACTTGTTTCAAAGAATTAGATGGGATTCTAACGCCTTGCAAAACTCTGCAGAGGAAATTAAAGGGGGAAAAAAGAACTGAAGAAAAAACAATTTATGACTTTAAGGGCTTTAGAGGGATTTAATTAAAAATATTACAAGTTGTTCATTATTAGCATGACAAATATCATGATTATACATGCCAATTTAGGAGGAACCAAAAACAGCCAAGGGCAGAATGGGCATCAATATTGGCTAGTCTCGGTTCACATATGCACACTAGTGGGTTGAAGGACATCCAAATTATGTCATTTCTGGCCTACTTCCTCTGGGCCACCAGTGGAAACCACCAAAAGTAAGGTTGCGAACCTCTGGTTAATGAGAAAATCCTGTGCGAAGTACTCTGCTTTCTGTATATCCTTTCACAGCATCTGATGAAGTGAGCTTCAGCCCATGAAATCTTGTGCTAGATATATCTGCTCTGGTTTGTCTATAGGGGAAAATCTACCTTGTCTTCCGACTAACTATGTCTGTCAAACTACAGTTTTTGGCACGCAGAGGTCCAGCTGGCAATAGCATTGAAAGAGAGAGAATGAGCTTTCCAAACGTGCATATTTCTTATGGTTCTTGTGCTTTTGGGGTACCTAACCTGAGAAAGCACCCAAATCAAGGGGCTTGATATTCAGAAAACACTGGATGCCCCAAGTCCTTTAAAAGGAAGGCCACCTTTAGGGATCTCAAGATGGGTACCTTGAAAATGCTACTCACTTCTTCTTATCTTGGCTATGGATTGAAGCCTGCAATCTGGATAATAAGTAAATATCCAGGTTTCATTTACCAGTCAATGTTTTGTACTGCCACCTGCCACCATAGCATCTGAGGACCTTTCATACAAAATAGACTAGTGAAGTCCAGAGTTGAGGTTCTTTTTCCTTTACAGGTTATTGTTTGCATCTTGTTTAATACAAGATGCAAAGCCACCTGAGCCTGGCCTATATTTTCATCAGTAAAACCTAGCAGATTAGGGATGTGGTCTTTTTACCTGTATGGTTATTCCAGTACAAGTTTTGTGGATGCAGTTGTTTGGTATAAAGTGCTGATACAGTGCAATGTAGGACACAAAGACAAAAGCTGACTTAGCTACACTGGCCAAAAGTGAGAAGAGGTGTAGATGCTGTTAATCACAGCAAATCTACGTATTCACCAGCACAGCTTGTGACACTTGTGATTTTACAGTACTCGGCTCTGCCAGCCTAGTTGCCTTCACACTACAACTTGGATGTTAGTGAATGCTGGTACTCCTACACTTGTACAATGCTCCTAAAAAAGACTCAGATTTATGCCTTTCGGTATGGTAGCAACACACTGTAGCAGTACACAACTGCTCATAATGCTAGAACTGCATCTGCTTGGCGGGTCAATCATTTTAATTATACTAGTATAGTTAAAATGGTATAACTTTTACGTGTGGCAAGCTCCTGGAAATGGACAGTTATGAAATAACCTGTCTGTAATACTCTCCCTCACCCCCAATCTAAAGCAGTTAAAGGCTAGTTTATGACCCGAAGAGGGAGAGCAGTTTATTAAACTTCAGTCTATGCATGAAGTTAGGTGCCCAAAAGTGGACCCAGTCCTCCAGGGGAAGCATTACGAGGGAGGAGTAGAGTGGAAAGATTACTTCATGTGCCTAATACAAGATACTTCTGTTGACTTGTGTTAGTACAATGATTGCTTTATTTGCCATATTGTGACAGTGCTGACTCACGTTCAGTTTGCAATCCCTTATAATAACCCTTTTTTTCCTGCAGAACTGTATCCTAGCCAGTCATCCTTTTGTGTGTG